TCATCTCAGTATAATACAAGAAATTTAAATCTAATGTACCCATATCACAGACTAACTCTAACAGAAAAGAATGCACATTACATGTGTATTAAATTATTCAATTGTTTACCAGCGTCACTTAAACAGATACAGAGTGTAAATTTATTCAAAAAACATATTAAACAATTTTTGTTAAATATTGAGCCCTACAATGTAACTGAATATTTGGAACACTGTTTAAACTAACTTAGGGAAACTGTTGTGACACCATTTCGCTCTTACATTGTCATTGTAAATGTTAATGTTTTTACGAATTAAAGATTATTATTATTATTATTATTATTATTATTATTATTATCGGAGCGATCGACAGCTCCCATGTATTCATTATAGTCCAGAATGCAATGAGGTTTCTTTTTTCCTCCCCAGTATCCTAATCAATTTTACCAGTACTGCTAACTTCGCTATTATGCATTGTAGTCAGCATGAATACCTCATGCTTGTCTTTCCATTTCAAAGCTAGAAGCTTGTTTGAAGACATGAATTGCGTTTCTCCACGATCCAAAACGCATTCAAGGTCTGGCATTCCTTTCCTATTCTTTTTAACAGTCCCACATGCGTTAGTTTTTTGCTGGTGTAAATGTACAAAAAGGTGAGGACTTACATACCAGTTGTCCAGAAATAATGAATGACCATTCCCAAGAAAAGGTTTCATTAGTGATAAGACGACTCTACCAGATATTCCCGCTTTGTTGAGAAGATCATCTTCTATATCATCAAGATCGGTATACTTTCCTGTATAAATTATAAAATCTAAGATGTATCCGGTTTCACAGTCACATATGAGGAAAAATTTAATACCAAACCTGTGCCTCTTCGATGGTATATACTGTTTAAAAAATATTCTACCCTTGAATAAAACTAAGCTCTCGTCTATACACAGATTTTTGAAGGGATAGAAAGTTTCTGCCATTTGTTTTTTTAAATGATCAACAATTTTTCGGTTTTTCCATAATTTATCATCTTGGGGCGCCTCCTTCCTGTTGTCAACAAAATGAAGACTACGGAGAAGAAGAAGAAACCGGTCCCTGGACATAATTTGGTGAAACATGGGTGTAGATATCTTAATATTATTGGTCCAATAAGAATTAATGGAATGTTTCTTGACTTGTGACATAAGTAAGTTGATTGCAATAAAGCTGTATATTTCATCGAAATCTGTATCCTTCCATCGATGCAGTCTGGATGTATCGGGAATATCTCGAGAAGATATAGAGGCAAAATATAGGTTAGTTTGTTCAGCAATATACTGAACAATGTCTTCGCCAAAGAATCTTTGAAAACATTCTAGTTCAATGCTATTTTTATCAAGGCCACTTTCTGGAGAACAACCCGAATTGTCAAATTTAAATTTGTGTATTTCCGGCTTTAAATCTTTTCCACTCCAAACAAAATCACTTGTTGCTTTCTTAGCTTTACCTCTAGCTCTTTTTTTACTGCTAGTAGGAATATCGGAATGGGAATCCTGGTCAGAAAAATCGGAGGTCTCTGATGATTCAGGAGCCGCATACGTAGGTTCTGGTGTGGCCGTATCATCCTCGTCTATCCATCCGCCATCTGACTCATCTGATATATTTTCAACGGATTCATCATCACTATTGGCTAAAATCGCCTCCAGTTCTTGATCAGTATAATATTTTTTCTTATTATAACGCGGCATAATTGTCACTACACCGACAAGCACCGACAAGTAACTGTAGCAAAACCCTTAGAGTATGGTAGACTCCTCTTGCTTTAGTTGCGTTGCATTGCCGAAAGTGCCGAGATCACCCGCCGCCTTACTACGTATCAATAAAGTAAGTACAGCCCACTTGTGAGGGTGTGAGACTCTAAACGTATTTATACGTCTGGAGCAGTTAATATTTAAAATATATATTTTTTTTATGGCTACAAGATGTCGTCTCTGATGCTAATAATATGATATTCATATATTGTCAGATTTTAAATTTACTCTAAACTATTTAAAAAATCTGGCGTTTATAAACGTCCGGAGCAGTTACGGGATTTGCGTCTATATATGTCTCGAGCAGCTTAAGGGTTAAAACAGAATTATGGTTGCAAAGTTGGTTAACCGAAAAAATATTCCGTTTGTATTAACTTATTCATTTATTCATTTATCAGTCAGCAGGTTGGTCCTATCGGGGTCAAATAATCGAGGTTCTACTGTAATATTTATTTTTTTTTAACTGTGATAAAATGAAATGAATTATTTTAGGCATTATTGACACTATTAATGAGGAAGAGGAGCAGTTCCTAAAAACGTTGTCTAGAGGAAGGAATCTACTGAATAGAACCATATCCAAGCTCGGGGACAATAATACTCTTCCTGGAGATGTTGCATGGAGGTTGTATGACACTTACGGTTTTCCCGTTGACCTTACAACTCTTATGGCAGAGGAGAAAGGTCTTGCTGTTGATATGAATGCTTATGAAGACGCCAAAAAACAGGCACAACTGTTGTCTCAGGTAAAATATGTTTGTTATTAAAAGTTTATCTCTTTAACCCCTCTTTGTCAAAAAAAATAAGGAAAATATCCTATAAATATGTGTTTCTAAATGCTTCCATTTCGAAATGTTGGGTGTTGAAATTTGAAAGAAAAAATCACATTTTGGAAAATATCTCGCAAGGCATTTTAGATAGTGATAAGACTCATCTAATTAAAAGGGGAAGTTCACATAATTCAGATATAAATGTGTCAACTACTCGTCGTGATCCTAATTATCAAGCTCACCAACTCGATGCCATATTTTAGAAATTTGTTGTAACTCCTAGTTGTATTTTTAATAAAAAAGATCTGTTCTATTTTTATCCTGAAAATGGACTGTTTTCAAGTTATCGCTTTTTAACTTAACGTTACCATTATCACGTGTTTACACAAACTTGAAATAATTCTAGTTATGTGAAAAGAATTCATGATTTTTTAGATTTTTTTTTAGAAGTAGCAACAATCTCAGAATAAAAGTACAAAACTTCTGATAATTTTTTTTGTACACTTCATAACTACATCGTATACAAAGTGATTCAGTCATAATATCATTAATTTTAACTATGTATTCTGAAGGCCTAACAAAGACAAAAAATCGAAAAAAAAATTTTTTTCCTGACCTTTTAAAAAATAAGCAAATTACTCCTTAAGTTCTGTTAACTTGCCGTCCTACTTCATAATAAGGAACGAGCCGGCTGGCGGAGTACACAGCGTTCGAACACTGAAGTGAAACAGCTAATTCCCTAGCCGTCTTAAAATTTGTGATTGGTTTTAAAATCAAAGTGCAGTGGATCGTTTTATTAACAAAGTGCTATGGATGGATGAGTGTCGTTTTAGCCGTACTGGCATTTTAAATAGGTAGATACCATACTACTCTTTGAAAGCAATAAGTCATAAAATAAGATATATGTACTACAAACTGAATAATTAACTGAACATAATACTAAAAATTCATATTCAATTATAAAATGTAGTGAAAATGTTAACAATATAAAAAATATTAAAGTGTGTAACCTTACATTAGAAAACAATTATTATCCTTTATACATTTGTTTTTATTAAAAAATAAATAATACTTGTTTAAAAATGTAAAAAAATATCTTATTAATTCTTGTGTTAAAAAAGCATTAAAAGCTAGGTTAATGACCGAATGTTATGGTAGGTCAAGATTCACTTTCTAAAAAGGGGTTTAAATGATTTGAAAATATTTTTTTAGCGTAATTATGCATTTTAAAATTTTTTTTATTCACGTATTCATATGCTACTAATTTTTCCCTATCTTCCCTTAAAATTAATGACATTATAACTGAATCACCCTGTATATAATTGTATTTTTAGAATAAAACCTTTTTATGACCTTTTTTTAAGGAATAATTCAAGAGTAATTTTAGGTCGACTAAATTTCTTAGTCACAATATTGTAAGCATAAAACAAATAATGACTTGAAAATGGTTCTTTTTTCAAATAAAGTGAAAGGGACCTGTTTTTTAGAAATACTTTTGGAATTTACAAGTGATCAAGTTTTCAGAATACCTAGTGCTGTTGAATTTATGGAGTCCTTAGTGATAGTGATTTCTTGTAACTCCACGAATGGCAGCAAGTATTTACCTATAATTCATAATTCAATAAGTTGTAGGTCCCAGTCCCATCGTTCTGTGTTTACAGTTGCACCTTTTTCTCTTAATATTTTGCAAAGAATCTCCCATCTCATTTTTTTTTTCACAATATTATAGACCTCAGCTGTTTTTTAACACAGTTTTTCCGATATTTAAAAAATGCAGCAAGTCAACATCACTAGTAAAATTCTTCCCAAGTTATTGTAAAAAATCCAAGGAAGCACTCGCAAAAATCATAGAAGATCTAAAGACAGAAATTAGTATAACAGCAGCCTCATTAAATTTTTCTTAGTTATTGCAATCCTGCCAATGATTTTTTGTTAATAAACAGTTAATTTTAAAGAAAAAAGTGAGAAAGTTAAAAGTTTTATAATAAATCAGGTTATTTGATAGCAAAAAATAACTTCAGGCATGCTTATGTCAATCCCCTCCTAGAAGTAGAAATGTTGCTCCTTTTAACAACTAAATTATTCCATATATTTTATAAAATAATCTTTATTGAAAGCGGTTAGTTTTGTCGTTGAGGTGGATTGCTATACAGGTTCGGAAAGTCCCCATGGTACATCGGCCGTTACGTGAGAAAAAACTAGTTTTCAAAACTTACGCCTTATGACTGAATATTTTATAAACACAAGAACTTTTTTAAATCAAGCTAATCGCTAGAGTTTGTTTCATAATATTTATATTGGGTGTTTCATGATGAATATTTTAACAACAAAGTAAAAAAAGTTTTGAGTTAATATTTGAGGGTATATTGGGTGATCCATGACTTTTCATTTAAAACTCATTTCCGCTACAGCTTTTCTATTTGTGTCAGAATTCCAAAATTCCAGGATATAATTGGGGAAATTTTCATTCCTTTGCGGGCCACTGAGAATGTCGCTGTATATTTTTTTTGCTATTTCATATAGCATATTGAAGCATAAACCAGTGACAAAAACCTTTCATTTGATTTATTTATCATTCTTTCCTCAACTGCTAAATTGACAACGAAATTCTGCTAACATAAAATTTAAAAATTCTAGAATCCTAACGAGAAAAATTTTATTTACTTGTACAGAGCTGATTCGTTTACAATGAACAATGACAAACCGTAGCATTTACGCTCGAGATAATGCTATCGCTGATTAGTTGAATAAAACTCATGAAAAATTACACCAATCACAGCTGGCGAAACAGAATGTTGTGTTTTACTGTAATCATGATCGTACTGTTTTAATAATTTTTAATATTATTGAAATTTAATTGCCACCGTAAAGGATATAAAATTACTATTCCAAACAAAATTACTGGTCGCATGGCTTATAATCATTTATAAAGGCTCTGCAGCTACTGCATCATCTACAATCGACAAAATTTGTTTACAGATATTGAGAATTGTTAAGTAAACTAACAATTATTTTCATTCTTTTTAAGAAAAATGAGAAAAAAAACTTTAAATGCTTTATTCTCTTAATAGAATCACATAATATTCTTTAGGACTTTTTTTAGTAACAAATTAATAAAACTTTTTTCATACTATTCAAAATTTGTTATTTACATGCTATTTAAAATTAAATGAATTTTCTTCACACTTCTCTGTGCGAAACATGTCAATTTAATTACCCCTTGCTTATAGGGCAAAGGAAGTGGTGTAGCTGATACCATTAATCTTGATGTTCATGCCATTACTGAGCTACAAGGGAAAGGAGTACCGCCAACAGATGATTCTTATAAATATAATTATGAATCTACCGATAAAGTAGACTCTGACTATACGTTTAAACCGTGTGAGGCAACGGTTATTGCTCTAAGGTACAACAAACAATTTGTGGACGAAGTTCGGACAGGGCAAGAGTGTGGTGTCCTACTCGATAAGACCAACTTTTACGCTGAACAAGGAGGGCAAATATACGACACGGGATATTTTATAAAAGTAGGGGACGAGAGTGTGGAATTTTCTATAAAAAATGTACAAGTTAGAGGTGGTTATGTAATACATATCGGCAGTTTGGAAGGAACTTTACGAAAAGGCGATCAAGTTAGTTTATATGTCGATACATCGAGGAGGAGGTTAATTATGAGCAATCACACTGGAACGCACGTTTTAAATTATGCTCTTAGGAAAGTTCTGGGAACCGAAGCCGATCAGAGAGGATCTCTAGTAGCACCAGATAGATTACGTTTCGATTTTACTAATAAAGGAGCGCTCACCAGTGAACAAGTGAAAAATACCGAACTTAGTTCGAAAGGTATGATTTCTAAAAATGAACCAGTGTATGCTAAAGAAGCCAACTTAGCTGTGGCAAAAACAGTTCGAGGTCTCCGAGCTGTTTTTGAGGAAACTTATCCTGATCCCGTAAGGATAGTTTCAATTGGTATACCTGTAGAACAATTAGAGTCGGATCCTTTTGGACCAGCTGGCGATAACACTTCTATTGAATTTTGTGGAGGTACTCACGTTCAGTATTCTGGACATATTGGAGATTTCGTCATTGCTAGCGAAGAAGCTATTGCAAAAGGAATAAGAAGAATAGTTGCTTTAACAGGACCCGAGGCCACCAAAGCATTGAAGAAAACTGAACTGCTAGAAAAGAGGTTGAATGAAATAAAAACTGTTATAGAATTGGATAAGGAAGGAGCAAAATCTAAAGAAAACGTGAAGAAAATCGTCGAACTTACTGATGAAGTATCGCAAGCAGTTATACCTTACTGGAAGAAGGAAGAAATCAGAAATACTTTAAAAAATCTTAAGAAAACCTTGGATGATAAGGATCGAGCTGCCAAGGCTGCTATCGCAAATCAAGTTGTGGAACAAATAAAAGAATTTGTGAAGGAAAATCCTAATTTGCCTATTTTAGTGAAAGAGCTTAAAGCTTTCAATAACACAAAAGCTCTAGATACAGCATTAAAGCAGGTTCGTAGTTTAAGTCCAAACACTTCAGCATTGTTTATAACAGTAGATCAAGATTCCAATAAAGTGTTTTGCTTATCATCGGTTCCAAAAGATGCTATAGGAAAAGGGTTGAAAGCTAACGAATGGGTTCAGGAAGTTGCGAAAAAACTGGGTGGGAAAGGAGGTGGAAAACCTGATTCTGCCCAGGCTTCTGGCAGTAACTCAGTGTACATCACCGATATCTTGTCTTTAGCAAAGAAGTTTGCAGAATCCAAGCTTTCTTAAGTTATAACTATGTTAATGTCTGAATTCTGCATTTGCCATTGCATTTTAGTATATCTCCAAGTATAAAAGGGTTAATGGTTAAATTATTTTATAAGTAATTTCCTTTTTAATAAAGATTTTTACCATTAATGTTCTGATTATATTATTATTCCTATTACTATTTCCAGTAAGTCAAATTGATCCGATCAATAGTTGAACAATTTTGAGAATAGTCATCTGTTTAGACTTCTTAATTTTTAGAGATATATCTGAGTACTGTTTCAGAGTTTCTTCTGAAGAAGGGAGTAATACAATCTGTCAAAAAAAGTTTCTGAAATTTGTCAATATAGACCAGGCGGGATCTGCTTTGGTGTAGATGTTTTATACAGGGTGTCCCAAAATTCATGCAACAAAATTTGGTCACAGATTCTTAAGACAAATTTAGGGGACCGGTATTTTTTATTTTTGCCAAGTGGCCCCCTCTTTCGGAGTTACAGCCTCCTGAAATCCGCCCCCAAATAGAATATTTTTTTTTACGTCTCGGAACCCTGTTGTAGGAGTCACTAAGGTTTTCGTGGGGCCCCTTGTCTTTAGAGCCAAAAAAAATTTGGTCGCATATTTAAATTTCTTAAAAATTATAAGTCCACTGTCCACTAGAAAGCCATTAAATTTAGAAACTTTTTGTCTCTTTATACTTTTTCGTAAAACACAATGTTTTTGAGAAAAATGTCAAAATGTGATCGAATGCAAATCGTGATTCACCATTTTCCTCAAAAATATTGCGTTTTACGAACCAAATATCAAGAGACAAATAGTTTCTATATTCAATAGCTTTCTAGCTAATAATTTAAAAAAAAATCAAATTTGCGACCACATTTTTCTGGTTCCAAAGACAAGGGGGCCCACGAAAAAGTGTCTTAAGGGGGTTTCTCGCCAAAAAGCGTAGCACTGTGAGATTCCACGTCATAAAATCCATGTGTACCAAATTTAGTGATTCTCGTGCAACATGGTTGAGATACAAAAAAGACGTCTTAGGGGCAGATTTCAGGGGGCTGTAACTCCGAAAGAGGGGGTCAGTTGGCAAAAAGAAAAAATACTCTTCCCCTAAATTTGTCTAAAGAATCTATGACCAAATTTTGTTGCATGAATTTCGGGACACCCTGTATAGCTAATTTTTGCTTTAATGGCTCCAAAATGATATAACAGAACATAATTTCACTATGCGCGTGCTTAAAACGTGCTAAACTTATTATTAAACAAATAGTGAAAAAATTGGAAAAAATTCAATTTTTTTCTCCTTTTTTCAACAGTTAAAAAACTATTAATTTTAGAGAAAAATTGAAGAGGAAAAAAAGATTCGTAATTAAATTTTATACAAGATATACCTATTTTGAAATAAAAAATACAACATAATTATTGCAAACATAGCAAAAACAACAACAGTGTTGTATTGACCGTTGCTAGGCGGTTGCCAGGAAAACTGCACGATTTTTTTAACAAGCTGTGCCATTTTTTTACCGTACGTTATAGGAATCTTACTTTGATCGCAGACGGTGTGTTTTTAAGTATTTACAGTAGTGGTCGTAGGTAAAAACAATATATTCAATTAATCAACAAATTTTATTTTGTCTCCAAAATAGGCTCCATCTGAAGCAATACACTTTTTCCAGTGAGTTGTCAAAGCATCTTTTTAAGGCATATTGCAGTGTGGACTTCAACTTCAGTGATTTTTCTTTTATGACTTCTTGAAACGTATTTCATGAAATGGTAATTTAAGTTTGGGAAAGAAGAAAAAGTCAGCAGAAACTAAGATTCAGTGGTTGCTCAATGACATTCGTTGAGTGTTTGATAAAAAATTCATTCACAATTATCGCTTTGTGTGATGGTGCATTATCGTGATGCAAAATTCAATTATCCTTTCATAAATCTGCTCTTTTGCGGCAGATATTCTCTCTAAGATGCTTGTAACGTCCAGATGTTCTTTGTGGACTGTTTCTCCATCTGGAAGGAGTCTGGAGAATTCTGTATAGACAACACCACAACAGTCAAAGAAAACAATCAATATTACTTCGATTTTTGATTGACGTGTTTTTTTTTATTTTGGCTAATTAGAAAAGTGCCATTCCAAAGCTTATTGGCTCATTTGCATGACAAACTCGCAAACCCATATCTTGTCACCCGCTACGATGCTCTGCATGAATGTAAAATCCGAATTAGCTTGTTGAAGCATGTCTTCAGCAACATGCTTACAATGCTCTTTTTGAAGAAAATTCAGCTCCTTTGGAACCAGACGATTTGCGACAGTTTCATACCCAAAACATCAACTAAACTGGTGCGAACTGATTGGTGAGATATGTTTAGTTCATATGCTAGCTCTCTCAAACTATAATGACAGTTTCCTTCACTTTATCGACGATTTCTTCAGTTGATGTGTTGAAGGATGACCAAAATGTAGTAAATCATCAACCACTTCTGGATCATGCGTTTGAATGTTTTGTACCATTCGTATGCTTGCGTTTTTGATGAAACTGAATTATTGTACATGTTGCTCAACATTTTCAACGATTTAGCACAAGAAATTCCGTTGGCAGCACAAAATTTTAGGTAAACTCTTTGTTCAATTACATTATCCATAGTAAAAATTGGGGAACACACTTTAGGTGAACTAATAAAATTAGCAGTTGTATTTTGATAGAATGTATATCTCTAGAAATGTAAGAATTCCAAACTGACCACGCAGTGAATTCAACCGAGTCTACAAACCATATACCTCCTCAAATTGGATTTACACAAAAAAAAATTGTTACTAAAACGACTCTAGGGCACAGACCTAGAAGCACACGCAGTAGCACCAACTCTATAAAACCAGTGACATCTTAAATGTCCTCAAAGGCGACTAAAAATACTAACAGTGAAATGTTCGGAAATATTTGATGTGACGATTTACAGAGGTCGCTACGGAACATCTCAGGGGACCACTGTCATATGAGGAGCAGTTCCATCCCTATAAACCTTAGAATCCACAATATGAACTGATTCAACATCAAGGGTTCTGATATTGGGTCCACCCTGCAGAGTATAGCATGAGAACAAGGGCAAGTCAAAACTAAGGCAGTGTGTTGTAAATCTGTAACTGACTGTGACCAGGTACGAGTCATGAAAGCCTTAAAAGCACTGATTAATAAATTGGCCACTAGTAATCTTTTTTAATTTTTCATTTCTATGTATGTTTGTTTATACATATATTCAAGCCACTGTCAACTTTTTATTTGTAAATATTTGTAAGAAAGAAAAAGGAAAAATATACTAATCAATCTTTATTACTGTTTTCTTGATCTTCTAATTCCCTATTTTTATCATACAATATTCTAATTTCTCTTAAAAGTGTACTTATGTTGGTACCTAATTTAGCGCTTACAGGTATAACGGGCAAATTAACATTTTCTTTCAATTTGTCCACATTTTCTTCGCTTTCAGGAATATCTATTTTATTTGCTATAACTAACTGTGGTCGCTCTTTAAGGTTTTTGTTAAATTGCATCAGCTCGTTTTGGAGTACACTGACGGCTTCCCAAGGTTCAGGTAGAGAGGCATCAACGATATATAAAAGTGCCATACATCTTTCGGCATGCTGTAAAAATTGTATACCTAAACCTTTATTTTTGTGTGAATCAGGTATTAGCCCAGGAAGATCAGCCACTATAACAAAACATGAAATAGATTTTATTTATAACAGATAAATTTAAAAGATTATATAATGATACAGCTGTTGATTTTGCATACATTTTCATTGTTGCCACAATATAAATGGCATTTAAGAGTTTTTACCTGCTATTTGCTCATAATCATCATATTGAACCATCCCTACATACGGCTTCAATGTTGTAAATGGGTATGGTGCTACCTTTGGTCTTGCTCTTGATATAGCCCTGAGCAAAGTACTTTTTCCGGCATTTGGATATCCTAGCTAAAATTTTTTTATATAATAAATAATCATTAATCAAACCATTATTTTCAGTACCAATCCAATATGTGCCATGGTTCTTATTTCAATACTATACTCAAAATCTTCACCAAATGCTCCATATTCACAAATTTTTGGTGCTTGCTCAGTGTCTGTTATAAAAAAATGGTTTCCTTTACCACCTGCACCTCCTCTAGCTGCAAGAAACATTAACCCTTCATGAGATAGATCGCCTATAACTTTACCTTGAGCATTTTTTACTATTGTACCAACTGGCACTTTAATTATATTATGATTAGCATTTTTGCCATGGCAGTCTTTATTAGACCCTTTTTCACCATTTAAACCTTTTGCTATTGTAGGGACATGATTCAAATCGTAGATGTCATTTGATGCTTGGAAAATAACATGACCACCATTCCCTCCATCGCCACCATCAGGTCCAGCTAATTCATTGCTCCATAGCGATAAAAACGAGATACATCCATCTCCTCCTGATCCTCCTATTACACGAAGACGTTTAAAGTCTACAAAGTGTTGTACCTATTTCAGTTAACTTAATTTTAATATCTATTTCTTCTATTTTACTCACTGTGTTACTGCTAGATCTTGGTTTTTTGCTTCTAAGTGGCTGAGCAATATTTTGTGAATAATTACAAATGCTCTTCAATAATTTAGGACTCAGTTTTATTTTTAAACTATTAAACATTTTCTATTTTACCATAGACCTAGTAAAGGTCTATGCCGTTTACAAAACAAAAAAAAGGTTATGTTAAATGAATGAGGTTAACTCTCAAATTTTCAACGGTAACATCACTGACATCTTGTGTTGAAAAGATAAAGTTATATATACACCAAAGATACAGAATGTTGAAGGACTATACATTTCTAGCGTTCTAGAGATAAAGTGGTCCCTGAAAGATTATTTCTCCTACACAATTGGTGTGCAAGTTCAGTTCCTAGCGGGCAGCCGACCAGAGCACACGTGTTTTGTGA